AATAGTGGAGAGAGGGTGCCTGAACTGGCCTTCCCCTGTAATCAGATTGGTAACTACCATAACTGTCATCATAGAACCTTCATCCACTATCTGATGGAAGCAGATGCAGAGATCCACAACCAAGCACTGGACCGAGCTCCAAGAGTCCCTTCGAAGAGAGGGAGGGAATATATGAGCAAGGAGGGTCAAGACTGCGATGTGGCAATCTACAGAGACAATGGGATCAAGTTTGTGGAAATACACAATGTCTGGACTGTATGGGTCCTAACTAAGCCCTCTCCATGCAGGCGATGGTTGTGTAGCTTGGTCCATTTGAGGCACCCCTGGCAATGGGATCAGGATCTATCCTGGTGTATGAGCTGGCTTTGGGGGACCCATACCCTATGGTGGGATGTCTTGCATAACCTTGATGCAGGGAGGAGGGGCTTGGTCCTGCCTCAACTTAATGTGACAGACTTTGCTGATTCCACATGGGAGGACTTACCCTTTCAGAGGAGTGGATGGGGAAGTGGAGCTGTCATGTAAAAGAAAGAAAAAATAATGATAAAGGTAGTTTACAGCAAGCCCAAGGCCAACCTCAACTTAAATGGTGTGGAACTCAAAGGTTCAGTAAAATCAGAAACAAGATAAAGTTGTCCACTATCTCCTGACCTATTCAATATAGTACTTGAAAGCTCAGCTAGAGCAATAAGATAACTACAGGCGTCCAAGGGGATACACATAGGAGAGGAAGAAATCCAAGTATCTATTTGCAGATAGTATGTTAGTATATATAAGTAACTCTAAAAGTTCCACAAGGGAACTCCTACAGCTGATAAACACTTTCAGTAAAATAGTTGGATACAAAATCAACTCACAAAAATAAGTAGCCCTCCTATATACAAATGAAAAATTGACTAAGAAAGAAATCAAGGAAACAACACCCTCATAAAAGCCTCAAATAATATAAAGTATCTCCGGGTAACTCTAACCAAATATGTGAACGACTTATAGGATAAAAACTGTAATTGAAGAAGATATTAGACATTGGAATGGTCTCCCATGCTCATGGATCAGTAGAATTCAAGATGATCATCATACCAAAAGAAATCTACAGATTCAATGGAATCCCCATCACAAGTTCAACACAACTATTTATAGAGCTTCAAAGGACAATTCTCAACTTCATATGGAAACACACACACACACAAAATCTCAGGGTAGCTAAAATAATCCTGAACAATAAAAGAACTGCAGGAGGTATCATTACTCCCAATTTCAAGTTATACTACAAAGCTATAGTCATAAAAACAACAAGATAATACGACAGACTTGCTGGTCAATAAAATTGCATTGATGGTCCCATCATAAACCCACACTAATGGACATGTTTGGGGCTTTTTTGTTTGTTTGTTTGTTTATTTGGGCTTTTTGGTTTGTTTGTTTTATTTTATAAATAATCCAGAAATACACATTAGAAAAAAAGATAGCATCTTCAACAAATAATGCTGATCAAGATGGAAAGCTACACATAGAAAAATCCAAATATACTATTAGTTATCACACCGCAGATTCATTTCCCAATGGATCAAAGATCTTAACTTAAAATCAGATACACTGGGGGCTGGAGAGATGGCTCAGAGGTTAAGAGCACTGACTGCTCTTCCAGAGATCCTGAGTTCAATTTCCAGCAACCACATGGTGGCTCACAGCTATCTATAATGAGGTCTGGTGCCCTCTTCTGGCATGTACGCATACATAGAAGGGATGTTGTATATATAATAAATAAATCTTTTTAAAAAATCAGATACACTGAACCTGATAGAAGAAAAAGTGAGAAATAACTATGAACTCATTGACATAGGAAAAAAAACTTTCTGAACAGACACCATTAGCACAGGCACAATTAATATATGGAATTTCATGAAACCAAGAAGCTTTTAATACCATCATTCCGACAAATCTTTATCTTTGGATATCAGAAAAGATTTTTACCAACTCCACATCTGATAGGGAACTAACATCCAAAATTCATAAAGTACTCAAAAAACTAGATATCAAGAAAACAACCCAACTAAAAACTGGGTACAGGTCAAAACAGAGAAAACCCAAAAAGCGGAGAAACATTTAAAGAAATGTTCACCATCTATAGCCATTGATTAACTGTAAATCAAAACTAATTTGATATCCTATCTTACACTTCTCAAAACGACTAAAATCAATAGAAGTGACAGCTCACGTTGGAGAAGATGTGGAGTAAAGGGAACACTCACCCATTGCTGGTGGGAGGGCAAACTTGTACAGTCACTGTGGGAACAGTGTGGCAGTTCCTCTTTTGGGCATATACTCAATGGATGCTGTACACAAGTACAAAGGACACTTGCTCAACCATGTTTATTGCTGTTCCATTCATAACAGTCAGAAATTCTACACAACTTTAACATCCATCAACAAAAGAATGGATCAAATGAATTGTGGTACTTTGACAAAATGGAGTATTATTCAATGGTTAAGAAAAAAAAAAAGAAACAATGAAATTCACAGGCAAATGGATGGAACTAGAAAAACCAAAACTATTCTGAGTGAGTTACCCCAGACCTAGAGAGAGAGATCTGATCAGTGCCTTGCTTAGCCATCACTGGAATAGTTTCCTCCTGCAGCACGTGGGAACAAATAGACCCACAGCCACTATTACTCAAGAGAATGCGACCTTGGAACACTCAGCCCTAAATGGAATGTTTGCATAAAATCCCTCCCCCAGAACTGAGAGAACTCCTTTGAAGAGGAGGCAGAAAGAGTATAGAACCCAGTGGGAATAGAGAATCCCAAGGAAATAAGAGACTCTAAAATCAACCCGAGGAAAGCTCATATGAACTCAGAGACTGAAGCAGCAGGTACAGGGCCTGAACGGGTCTGCACTAGGTCATCTGTGCATATATTATGGCTTCAGTTTAGTTCCCCCCGCCGCGATATAGGGTTTATTTGGTTGCCTTAGTTGTCTCAGAACTAGCTCTGTAGACCACTCTGGTCTCAAACACACAGAAATCCATCCACCTCTGCCTCCTGAGTATTGGGATTAAAGGCGTGCAGCAAAACCACCCAGTTTTTTTTCTTAAAATCCTTCTCCTGAGTGTGTGAATAAGTGGGACTATGATTCTTGCACTTTCTCTTGGACTATTTTTCTTCTGTTTGTTTTGTCCAATTAGGATGCATTAATTTTTGTTTCATCTTATTTGGTTGTTATCCCTTAGACACCTGTTTGTTTTCTAATGAGAGACAAAAAGGGAGTAGATGCGGATGGAAGGGAGAGGGGGAAGGATCTGGAAGAGGGTAGAGGGAGGAGAAACCATAATCAGAATATATTGTGCCTGGGGGAGACCTATTTTTAATGCAAGTGGGGAAAAAGAAGTAGCAAAAGGTATGTTTAGCTACAAATGTTTATGTGCAAAATAGGGGCTGAAAAAAGCTGTGTGAAGATTATTATATGGAAGAGTCAGTCTGCAAAGGACGTTCAGAAGCCCTTTGTTACTGGGACTTTCACTAAGGAACTGAGCACACACGAGGAAAGCACCTGGTATACACATTAGGGAGAGGCCGTCATTCTGCAAATGTTTCACAGTGTCCTGAACCGCACTGCCTCATGCCAATATTTAAAGCTTGCCTGACCTGTTGGGTTTTCTTTTCCACCTCAAACTCTATTAAATTGCCCTCCGGTTTCATTCTAAGTCCATCTTTATTTTATTTTTTTAAATTAAAGAGATCAAAGAGTCGAAAAGAAGTAATCTCAGCTTCCAGGGAGACACACTGAGAACCCAGAGACATGTGAAATAAAGAATTCAACTTAATGATGCAAATACAAGGTCTTGGGAAAAGAACAACAAGTCAGATCCAAAAGCAAAGACAGCAAGACATGGAAACGAGACGGTGAGAAATTAATGAAAGAGAAACTGAAAGTACAATACAGTCAACCGCTACATCAGGGGCGGCTCTTGTAAGAAAAAAAAAAAAAAGTAAGACAGGCAAGCTACTAAAACAAGTCATATATTAGAGAAGGTTACAAGACAGTCCAGTGGAGTGCAGAGGACCAACTGATAATATCTGAACACAACTAAAACAGAGAAAGGAAAGAAAAGGCATTATGTGTGAAACTAAGTGGTTAAACTCTGAGTCACATACAACATGCTAAAATTAAATCAAGAGGATATAAACAACTTACGCATATTAATAATGAACAATGAGGCTGGAAAATACATAGCAAAAACTCCCAACTCACAATTCCTTCTGCGTATTCAAAACTAGAGAAAACAAACGACATTTTTTTCTTGTACATTTAAGTTATTTCCCTCCATTTCATGCCTTTTTTTCCTCCACAGTCAGTAATGCTGGAAACATTTTCCAAAAATTTAACTTTTGCTTAGACAATTAACAATTTCGCCAGATTGACGGGTGAAAACAAACAATTGTGAAACAAACTGAAAGTTTCTTCTTCCTGGAAAGCCTGGGCATTTTCTCCCACTCTCAGACAGAGAGAGCAAACAAATCCTTCTGCATTAACAAATAAACTAAAGCAAAAGCCAGGATGCGGGAGGTAAATGGTTTGCCTAGAATGAGCAAGGTCTGAGGTTCAACGCCCAATACTTTTAAAAGGGTAACAGCGCTGTCACTCAAGTCCCTTCCCAGCAGTCTGAATTCCAGAGAGCATCAGCACCAACTCGCCAGTGATGCAGTGTTTGGAGAGGCGCGGTCTCACCAGGGAGCACTGGGGACTGGAAGACGCAGCTTCAGCAGGGCAGGCAGGACAGGGGAGGGCCGACCGAGGGACCTCATCCCAGGCTCCCCGCTGCCCGCTGCGTACTCATTAAAATGCACATGGGTTTGAGGGCAGTGGTGACAGACTCCCACCTCGGACTCTGCAGCACAGCGCCAGGGGAACGTCAGGGCGGCGGCGCTACATTGTGACAAAGCCTCTGCAGTGTCATAAAACCACCACGCTCGACTCCAGGAGTCCAGGGTAAACTCACCATTTCCTGCTTTGGGGCGTGAGCAGGTGTCCTTTCTAAAGGGCCTGCAGGGTAGCAGAAGGCGCCACCGCCCAAGACAATCCACCACTGGCCTCCCTGCAGCTACACAGGACTCAAACAGGGCGGCAATGGCGACACCCTCTGACTGTCCGTGCTCTTCATTGGACAGATCGTGCAAGAGAGTAACAGCGTCTGTGATTCGTGAATGATAGCGACCCGCCTCCTTAAATCGGACCGCACATCGGGTTTTATTCCTGTTCAAAAGGAGCTCAACTGACCAACCAACCTAACTCTGATTTCTTTCCCCTGGAGTAAACCCGGAGTATACATTCTATTTAAAGAGACTGTGTTCCGAGAATTTTTGCACATGCACTTGCTTGCTCGTGTACTCAGAGAATTCCTTTTGCCTTTTACACACACACACACACACACACACACACACACACACACACACACACACACACATTACTTTGTTCCGAACATTCAGGGCTCAATGGCACACTTGCACAACCTTTAAGGTGGGTTCTGGAGATACAAACGCAGGTCTTCATGAAGGATGAACAGACATTTTTTATCAGCCCAGCTCTTCTTTAAACTTGCAATACTGGTTGTCAGCATGATGCTTTCTGTAGTGTTTGGGTTTTATAACACACAGGGAATGCTGAATTCAGGATTTACCTTCAAAGTGAAGAATTTCTGTGGTGGTCAAGATTAGAGGTGCATCTCATCCAACCCCTGAAATAAGTATTTGTGAATTTGGTGCTTTCTTTTGGCTGTGGATGACATTGCCCCCCTTCTGAATATTAAGATGTTGAGAGTTTTTATGGTAGAGGAAACAATACAGAGCATGGCGATCTCCTAGAGTTAAAATGTTAGGCGTCTTTGTCTCATCACCAGGATATGAGCCACTGCCAGAGGAGATAGAGGGGGGAATCCTCATGAGCAACTGATGTAAGCTTTTAATGACTATTTTAAAAATATTTATTTAACGTTATTTTATGTGCATTTGGTATAAAGGTGTCAGATTCCCTGGAACTGGAGTTATAGACAGTTATGAGCTGCTATGTGGGTGCTGGGAATTGAGCCCAGGTCCTCTGGGAGAGCAGTCAGTGCTCTTAAACACTGAGCCATCTCTTCAGCCCAGCTTCTTATAACTCTCGAATACTTTGTGGAATATTACCCCTTGGTAGCGATTTGCTCTGTCCATTGAATGATTGATTTCCTTGTTGTTGTGTTTTAATTTTTTGGCAGAAAATGGATATACTAAAACAAATGATGTGAGAAAACCTGATTATTTGCCTCGTCCCAAATTCTTAAGTTTGCATATCTAGGCTTGCAACATGTCTCTGTGCCTAGGTTGACTGAAAAGTTTCTATACCCCAATATTAAACCTTTCCACCAACACAGTAATCCAAATCAAACCGGATTAAGAAAAAGTCCAGGTTTAAGGAATAAAATGCTCCTGGATGACTTTCCTGCCCCAGAGAGGAGATAAAGAGAAGAACTAATGGGCTAAGCAGTGATTTAATCAATGCAGTTTCTGTGTGGTTATTTCGCTTCTGGGTAACTGTGACAAACAAGCGGCCTCCTTACAACAGAACACAAGATTAGAAAAGATTTTATGTTAGCCTCAATTGAGTACAGTTGAATTAATATAAAGCTCATGTATGCATACAGAATGGTTGAGATGCATACATACTCTTTCCACATATAAAGTGCTAAAAGTAATGCAAGAAATTATAGTTCCAAATATCAGCACACATACATCCTGAATAGAAAGAGAATTTTGGACAGAAGGATAAAGATGGACTCTTTGGGAGTTTGTGCTGTTAAGCTTTTTGATGCAGAGGATGAACATGTAGAATTAATGTGAATATCTCCATTACTAAATACATTTGCAAGACTGAAGCGATGACTTAGAAGTTTAGAACACCTGTTATTCTTATAGAGGACCTGGCATTGATTCCAAGCATCTTCAAGATGGTTCACAGCCATCTTAGCTCCAGCAATTCCATCACCTTAATATCATAGTTACCAGATACTCACATGGTTGCACATATATACATGTGGGGAAAATGTTCACACACATATAACAAAATAATCTAAGTACATTTGAGGCCAGGTATGGTTGCATGCACCTGCACTTATCGGCTTAAGAAACTGAGTCGGGGAGACTGAGTGGACCCCAAGTTTGAAACCAACCTGAACAACACGTTGAAACTATGTCTCAATAAAATAACGGAAAGTACATTTGATAATTTCTGTATGTCCTTTTATAACTAATGCCTTCATTTATAATAACTGTGGACTACTGCCTGTACAGTTTACTTCTTAAACCCAATATAACAAAGTTATTTGTATATGAAAGGCGTGTTAGTTGCATGGCTCAATGTGTAAAGTTGCCACCAATACTGACAGATTGAGTCTAATCACCTATACTTATGTGGTGGAAAGAAAGAAGTGACTTCTAATTGTCTTCCAACATCTATATGTGTACTATAGCACATGAATGTATGCTTACACACACTCAATAAACATTTTTTTTAATTATAGATACTTAATGTTGGAAATATGTTGGGGAAAATAGTCAACATTATTTACTAAAAGGAAATTCAAGCCAAAGCTATATTGAGATTCCATTTTATCCTTGTTACAATGGCTATTATTTTAAAATGTAATAATAAGAAATGCTAACCAAGATATAGGGGGAAAGAGCAATTATATGTAGTTAGTGAAAATGTAAACTAATACAGGCATTTTGCAAATAAAGTAGGGCAGTTGCTCAATAAAAAATACTCAAAATTAAACCATCCATCAAACCAGAAATAGTCCTCTTTGTTATGTAAGGGAGAGAATTTAAACATACATAAGAAATGTATGCATTCGTGTTTATTGTAACACTGTTCAAAAATAGCTAAGGTGTGGAATCATCCTTGATCCCATCAACATATAAGCAAATAAAGAGAATATGGTGCTTTACTATATTGTTGAAATAAGGAGTGGCGGGGCTGCATCCCCAGCACCCCAACTGCCTGCTAGCTCATGCCCGAAATAACAACACACAAACTGTATTCATTTAACTGCTTGACCCATTTCTATCTAGCCTCTTCTAGGCTAATTCTCACATATTAATTTAGCCCATTTCTAGTAATGTGTGTAAGCACCCCAAGGTGCACTCACCGGGAAGATTCTAGCCTACGTCCATCCTGGGTCGGAGGAGCTTCATTGCGTGCATCTGCCCAGGAGAGTGGAGCATGGCGTCTCTGCTCCAGAAAGCAGAGCTGTCGAGTCTCTCCAGAAGCAGAGCAGAGTCTGACCTCACTTCCTCTTCCTCCCAGAACTCTATTCTGTTTACTCCTCCCACCAATGCTTTAACCTATCAGGGCCAGCCAAGCAGTTTCTTTATTGCTCAACCAATGAAATCAACAGATTGATATGACACTCCCACATCACAATATGTGTATAGACAGAGACATGTATGCATGCATGCATACATACATACAATTGTATGTATGCAATACAATTGTACTGACTATTATTTGCCCATAAAGAAGGGCAAATTCCTTTAAAAATTGATAATACTATGATGTCTCTAAGTGAAATCATCCACACAAAGGCAACTATCATGTTCTTTTATTCATATGTGGAAAATACAGTACAGGAACAAAACAACAACAAAATTCCACGAGAGTGTTAGAGAGACTGTTAGAGGACATGGGATGTCTCGTGGAAGTAAGAAAAGACGACTGAATAAAACAGTAGCTGGAAGGGTAGATATGATGACAGCACAATGTATCATAATGAAATCCATTAATACATACAATAAATATTGTTAATTTTACTAAATATATTTTGAATGTTTTCTTGTTAGTTTCTTATTTTTGTTCTGTCTGGCCTAGAAGTTGCTAGGGAGATTAAATTGACCTCATATTTGTTAGAATTCTCCTGCTTCAAATCCTCAGGTTTGGAATTATAGGCATGTGCCACAATGTGTGGGTAATTTTATTAAATGTTTTAAAGTAGAACTGAAATCCAAACAAAAAAAAAGTCTCAGTAGTCTAAGCTTTAAAATCACAAGGCAAAGAAACAAGAACAAGATAATTCTAAGTCAAACATAAGAAAATAATAATTATAAAAGATACCAACAAAAATACATACAATGTCATCAGAAGAGAAAATCAAAAAATCAAGACCTGGTTGGTTGAAAAGATACTAAATTTAGTATGCCAAACTAACAAAAAGGAAAGAAAGCATGTAAACTCCAAATTTTTGTTTAATAAAATAAAAAAGAAGGAAGGAAGGAGAGAAAGAAGATAGTAACTCTACTCAACCCACAGAGATTTTAAAGATGATTAGAGAATGTTCTAGTCGCAAAAATTGCATAATCATAAATGTTACTTTCAAGCACTGACATAGGGAATATAAATAAAGGAATATGTATTAAAGATTATAAATTAAACAATGAAGAAAGTATATAGGTAAATATTTCTTGCAAGTATAGATTTTTAAATGTTCACAAATAATAACAAATGATGTATATGATACATAAACAATGGGAAGTTCATCTAATCACTCTATTTCCTGTTTGCTCATAAGCTGGTGTGACTCACAGGACTTGAAAAAACTTTGCTCAGTATTATAGTTTATGACAAATGGTACAAATAACAAAAATCAAAACGTAAGAGGCACAGGTTTAGGTATAAGGAGAGGAAATCATGGCTTCTCAATGAGCTGTCTGGAACACACAAACTCCTAGCATGTGTATGTGTTCAGCAAACCAAAATTTTTCTACACTCCATCAATAGTCATGTTCATGTATGCTTCTGTTGTGTTCCCATGATTAATTAGCTAATAGGCTCTTGATGATTAGATTAGCTCAGTCTCCAACCCTTACAGTGGCGCAGGATATGTTTTCATATTGTAATTGCAAATAAAAAACATCTTAAAACTTTACAGCTTTGGATTGGGTAGAATGCTTCTTCCAGTAAAGGTAATTGCCACCAAACCATCCAAGCTGGAACCTACATGGTAAGAAGAATGAACTGACCAATGGAACACATACGTGCACATGTGCACATGTGCTTTCTCTCTCTCTCTCTCTCTCTCTCACACACACACACACACACACACACAC